TGTGTGTGTGTGTGTGTGTGTGTGTGTGTGTGTGTGTGTGTGTGTGTGTGTGTGTGTGTGTGTATTATAGTGCTGATTACACATAACTTAAACGAGAAATTCAGAATAACCATTTTGTTGGTTTGATGGTTTCTTTAGGTAATTCTCTGGGTTAAATCTAGTATGTAGATAGGAAAGATGTCACAGGTCGTCTCTGAGCTGAAGTCCTGGTCAGGATTAAGCTTTGTAACATTTTACGACAAGGCGAACACAGATCAAGTAAGAGAAAGGCATCATAACACTGGCATACAGGGCACTTTAATTACTTAAAACAGAAGACAAATTCTCCCCTTCTGTCACTCAGCAGCAGCTGCAAAACTGTTAAGCAACATTTAACGATACTCCACAAATGGAGGAATTCTAAAATATTTTTACTCAAATATTTAGCAACTAAATATGTAAAAAATATGTATATATGTATCAGTTAGATTCCGTTTGTCATACCAGTAAGCCACCTCTTCTTTTAATGTGCTACATGGCAATTGACTACTGTTTTTATCAAACACGCTATAGGTCCCATCAATCTATATAGAATAAGGTTCTGAGAAAAACATCATATTTGTCATTAACTTTTAAGTACGGGCTGCTTTGGAGGATTTAAATGTCATCATCAGTGAAATTCTGTCCTGTCTCTCTTTGTTCAGCTTTTCTTTTTAGATGTCCTCTGTATACATATATAAAATGAACTGAGCAAGCGGTATGATGCAGACTTTTGTTCTGTTATAATTTTATCTAAAATTAACTAACTGGAATAAAAAACACTAAATTAAACTACCTCACGAAGGTCACTGGGTTATTTTGAACTGAACCAACTAGGGTAATCCCATAATTTGGACAGCATGCAGGTCACCGGGTTACTGACTCTCTGGCTGTCACAGACAACAGTGTAATTAAGTGCCCACTGACTGCTGAACGAACAAGCTTGCTTGACTAAAAAATGAATTGATGCTTAGCCGTGGTAATCTTTGAAATGTGGGAGAGTCTCCTACTATTTCATGTATGCCAACATGGTTACTGATTGTCTTCTCACCACCCCTTCCACCCCACCCTTTCTTTACCAGTACTGGCATCTCCTTACTTTACTTAAATATTTATGTAACTAAATACGTATAAATATGTCTATGTATTTATTTAATTTATTTACACATCACACTCATTTACATCCTAATATGCCCCTGTATATTCGTTTAATACTAGTTTGCCTTATTTCTGAATGATGTACAGTCATGGCCTGTACATTTTCCTGGCAAAAAAAAGAATAAAAAAAACTTGTAAAACAGACAAATCTGTCATATCTGTGGTTCCTTATATATTTAGATTATATCTATACGCAAATTCATGCTACACGTCTTATAAAATTATATATATATAATTATTCGCATTTGTGGTATCATAAAACGGTCGGATACTACTTCGTCTCTCACTTCTACTCTGAAATGGAGGCTTTTATTTGATAAAGTCACCGGAAGCTGCTTTTTTTAATCGCTGCCGCACGGGTTGACGTCATTATGGAACCCTGGCCCGGCTAGCTGTCATATGCGTAACAGGGAAGGCATGACATGGAGCTAAATTTTCCCATCTGCAGTTATATATGCGGCCTGGCTTGTTAAATCGATCTAAGGAATTGTCAGTTATATGTACCAAGTTAGAGGCCTTTCCGTTTCGACTTCTCGAAAAAGCAGTAGCTCGCTAACCCGATAGCTACCTTCTAACTTAAGGTGAAGATAACCACTTGCATACTGAAAGCATGGCGTTAATCCTGTTTACAAGATCTCGGGCACCTTTAATGAAAACGTCTCGATCCCTAAAGAATGAATTCAGGAAAGGCAAAGGTAAGGTTTCTGTGTTGGTTTGTTACTGCCTAGCTTGCTGTTTACTCTGCCAGTGTTGACCAAATAACGCTAACAATTAGCTTGTTGATATTAGCATCTAGAAGGGTCCTTTACATAGGGTAGGTGGTCCTGGCCCCGGTTTCAAGAATAAACACCTGACTACTCATCACACTCCGGGCGCTCATTCATTCTTTTAAGCTACCAATTTGAAACGAGTCTGTAAGAATAAATTGCACCGACAGTGTATCACGGCGATGGAAGTATCGGAGTGATACACTCGAAGCGAAGCGTAATCAAGGGTTTAGGTTATCTGAGGACAACCTGGCAATATAATTTCTGTAACTTGGTTATCTGAAGGCAACCTGGTTACACACACACACACACACACACACACACACACACACACACACACACACACACGTTTGAGCAGATGCTCGTTGCTATGGTACCCTAGTTCCCTAGTGATTAGTCAGCACCTAGGAAGTACAAAAGAAGTAGGATCTGTGGATACATGAGACTATATTTCTGTTGTGTGTTATGCTGATTTCACGTAGTTGATTCAAGTGTCTTGCTTTACTTTCACGATTGAGGCCAGTTTGTTTTAGCCTTGCTCAATATTTCACAACTTTGAAGCCGCAGAGTGGCTATATATATATACAGCTGATTATGAGTAAAATCAGCATTGACTAGTTTTCTGTGGTTGATTAATTTGAGGTGGGTAATATGACGATTGCATTTTCTGTTTGGGATAGATTTTGCTATAATCGATTATGTCATTCTAGCTCTCCCTTTTTAATATTTTTGAATATAAAATCCAAGGCATCGTGACTGTTTAGCTATAATGTTTTTGTTTTTTTTTACAGTATAGAGGACACTAATGCCCCAATACTGCAATATGCAAAATGCAATGTCCCCTTAAAGTTGCAAGAAAAAAAACTGTGACCCTTTCAGAATTACCAGGACTTTTGTCATGATCAATTATGAAATGTGGTCTGATGTTTCTCCTAGTGAAATGATACACAAACACAGTCTGGCAAACTAATAACACGCACACAGTTTAGCTTTCCCGTGTATTTCCATGAATAAACACTCAAGAGGCAGACTGGTGGACAGAAGTGAACTTTTGACCTTTTAGTAGTAGCAACAACCTTCCTGTAGTTAGTGTTTCAGTTCATCAGCGTTTCTGGGATTTCTTGATTCAACTGCGAAATGTTGGCATTTGTCAATGTTTTGTCTGGTATTTCCAGGGAGCGGTCTCTGGTTTGTTGTAGAATAATAATCAGGTCCTAAAGCATTTTTTAAAGCAAGTTTGCAAAGAGATGTCTGCAGAGAGCAGAGACCGTCTGCTGCTGCAGTTTTAATCTCACATCCTTAAATCGCAGATGTTTCTAGCATACTGGTTTACTTCCTTTTCCCAGCCTGTGCTCTGTGATTCTAAATGTATTCAATAAAGACATGAAAAGTGCACCAATTAGTGTACTGAGACTTAGTCACATAGATGATTCTAAAATAAGATATTTCATCTCACAAGTTTATAAATGAAAGAAATTCAATGTAATGAAATCGCTCTTAGGACTAATATAATATTAAAGGAATCATAGCAGCTGATATGTCTGTGTGCTTGTGGCTTTAAAGTTAATAGGTGTACCACAGCAGGCATTAGAGATGTTACAGGTTTATGCTACAGAATCAATATCATGTCTGAAGTTAAGGTGATGTTTTTCCTCATTGCACTGAGCCTGGGGGTATAAATAGATGAGAGGGTCATAATGGGGGATTTGCCTGTCTGCGGTGGACTGACTGAGACTGTGCTCTTGGCTTTAGGCCCAGATTATCAGATAAATTGCTTTCCATGAAGAAAGGTCAGTGCCTTTTATAACCTCACCTGAGACAACTGATATTCCTGTCTAATCATATGTGAAAATGAGTACAGGAGTATTCATGTAGTATGGTTGAATCTACGTATTAATAAGTAGAGTTCTGAAAATCTTTCAAGTTTAAGATCTGTAATAATAGTGACCTGGAGCTAGAGCTGGGCGATATATCGAGTTTTTAAAAAATATCGATATATTTTTATGCGAGATATAAGATGTGACAATATCCTTTATATCGATATAGTCTATGTTACGTTATAATTATACTTGTGGAGCCGCAAGTTTGCCTCTCTTTCGTCCACTTTCGTCTTTACGCAACGTTACTCGGCCTCGCCTCTCCTTCACTGAACACAACTCCCCCTCCTCCCCCATCGCTTCACCTGCAGGAAGCGACTAGATGGACACGGCAAATCTCCGTTAACGAGTTACTGCGCATCGCCCCGTGCGTGGGGCTGGACGGCGTCAACGTGTTAGCTAGCTAACCACGCTAACGAGCTAACCACGCTAACGCCATGCAGCCCAGAGGTGCTGCACGGACTAAAATCCTTGCATTTTCTCAAAAGTTGACAGCGCGCCTT